AAAAGGGAGCAGGGTTCGCAGTGAGACAGGGGCAATGAATTCATCCTTCACTCTCAGTACTTTTGGTCCGGTTTGCAGTTTTTCGAATTTCCTCAGAGGAGCAGTGGTGGAAGTGTTACAATGCTCAACAACGAAAGGTGAGCACTGCCTGCGAGAAAGTTCAAAGGACGCCTCAAGGTGTTCAAAGGTTTTCTGTAGTCGCAGCTTCACAGGCATGTTGTCAAGCCTCTGAGGTGGCTCACCAGTCCAGTGCAAAGTTTGGCTAACAATGAAAGACAAAGAGTGTGCTATGTGCACTATGCGATGCAAAGGCCAAGGCAGCCACAGGTGCTATTACTGTTCCACCAGTATTTCTTTTTTCCAACACTCACAAATTGCAAGCGAGACTGGTCTGCCAAGCGGCCTCACCTATGGTGTGAATGCCGGCGTCTTCTTGCACATGCCTCACTCCAGAGCAACACTGGTGAGCGTTCCTCGCCATCCAATAAGCTGCCCTGGGACACAGTGTCATCAATCATCGCAGAGAGAAAGCCAGCACTGGTGTTCCTTGAGCCATGACACAAGAGCCATCCAAAAAAGGTCGAGAATATGCGCGAAAAAATCAAAAAACACCACTAAGAATGCGACCTCTTAAAGACAGTGACTGGGGACGGTTACTTGGGCAGCCGCCCTTGCCCACCCCATCACCGTTGACAGGGGATAGCAATCACTTGTGGTGGCTGGTTGGGGCTGTCCAATCACTTTCATGGGGGTAGGTAGTGGAGCCACCACGGGGATGTGTCCTGATGGACTCTTCAAAGGCATTGAAGGCAGCCTTGGACGTCTCCACGCACCTCGCTTGTTTCTGGAAAAGGTGAGCTTCGAGCGCAGTACATTAGCCAAAAAGCTCTGTATCCTATGTGGCGAAGGTTCCCTGGGATGGCCAGTCTGGCCTAGGCGGCAATTTGACTGTACTCAAGCTGACAGTGCGAGAAAGTGTGTAGGGTGAGCATTTTGCAATTCTCAAAGAAAGTCGCATCACCACCCAGTATGATCTGTTGGACACCAGACGAATAGAAACAGCCTTGTGGGACTCCTGACAGGGGAGGCGACGCAAGACCACGTCTGCCCTTGCTCTGACATGGGGCAGAGTGAGCTGGCTCAGCTTGGCACACTCTTCAAACGCATACGGCCCAACTACGGCTCCTGTAGCCAACTGCAGGCTCCTTTTTCAAGGGCACCGCGGAGAATAGTCGAACCTCCAACTCGACACATCCTGGCATTTCGACCATGACCAGGGTATAGCACCCCTGGAAAGCCGCATATTCTATGGCGACTACACAGATAGCTTTGGGGTAGTCCTCATACTCCTCTCCTTGAAGTTGCTCTTTACAGTCATATTTCTGAAAGCACTCTTGAACTACTAGGTGGAATTGCGTGTTCCACCATAGGTCTTCTTGAATGGGATCCTGCAATGCTTGGTGCGTGTCAACATCGAGGAGGGTGAGCTCACACCCAAAGATGTCCAGGTGGCTGACAAAAGGCAGGTGTTCCACTAGGTATGCTTCAAGCATTTCCCATGTATGGTGGATGCTTACCGGCACATCAATCCGAATAACACTGCTTGCAACAGTGACAAGCTGAAGACAGAAAAAACTGTTGCTCTCAAAATCGCAGTCATCATTGCAAGGCAGGGACATGATCGTGCCAATGTCGGTGCCCAGAAGGCGTTAAGACTGCTGTCTCCGTCGAGGCACTCTCATGCTACTACCGTCAGCTTGAGCCAGTTACTAACTGCGCAAAGGGAATCCGCTGTCCTGCATGGGAATGTTATTGCATATGCGATGAGCACATGTAGCCTAATCACTCCCCCCCCACATGCACTAGACACTGCGGCCAGGACAACATCTAGGGATATTGCCTGTTAATGGAGGTATTCTGGAAGTACACTGTCTGAGGCCAAAGGCACCGAACTTTAAGCTTATTGGGGACCTTCCTTGCGTTGAACCGGGTCAGGGGCTTGTTGCTGGCCTCTTGGGTCAACTTCAGGGGCTCCCCGCACAGGATTGTCCTGATTAGTGGTGGCATAGAAGTCTAACTGGTCATGCGCTTCCCGGACGTCTTCAAAGGCATTATTTGCTTCGTAGTAGCCTTTGAGGATGAGTTGAGAAACAAGCTTCTCCCAAGTTTCAACACACAAGGACTTGGCGTGAGGGGCCGCATACTGTAGGGCCGCCTTTTTGTCTTCCTCATCAGCTAGGTACCCCTGTTGAAACTGTGTGCGGAGCAATCGATAGCGGGTCACTGTGCAAGTCCTGTTTTTGGACAGGAGATGCCAGTTTTTCCGCGAGATGGCAACAGCAAAGCCAGTTAGCAGCCACTTTGAGATTTGCTGATACTTGTGGCTCACGATGCGCTTTGAGTAGGTCTGCGCCGCCCTTTGTAGTAGACTTCTATGGAAGGAGAAACAGCCCTGCCCCGTGACAGTAAGGTAGGTGTCATCTTCAATTTCTTCTTCCTCTGCATCATCAACTTCTTGTTCTGAAAAAGCAGTGACATCTGCCAGCGTGTCATTGCACGAGTCAGGGCTCGGTTCACTGTTCGGCAGGACTGGTTGGGCCATGATCAGAGGGGCTGTAGCACGTTGGTCTTTTCCTGGAGGGGCCACCCCTTCCTCTACTTTATGCCAGAGTGGTACCTCAATTCTGAAGTTGCTCTTATAGGAAGAGGCAAAGGACATCATTTGGCCAAAGCTCCCATCCAGGATGCCGTGCTCGTAGACCTCTGCAAGCTGCGTCGTGGGTGGGACGGAGGAATAATTTGCCGCAGTGCGCTGCCCTTCGTATGCTCGGGCAATGATGTACGGGTTGTTTGCTTCGTTGTCAGTGTTATGTTTGTACCTTTTTCCTTCGTCCGGGGTGACATCCTGCATGTTGAGCGCAATGCATCGCTCAACAACTTTGTGTACCACCTGGACAGGGAAGCAGACGTGAACGTGGTCAATTGGCAGGTCTGGCCTGCCCAAGTAGAGGTTGCGTGCAAATGACATGACCACTGTCTGCATAAGGGCCAGGGAATTCCGATTGGGCTCCAGGATTGGGGTCGGCCCCTCTTTCTTCCCTTCTTCTTTGGCTTTAAAGGCTGGCATTTGCGTGCATTGGCCTGTCCGCACACAGGCCGATCGCCTAATGCCTCTTCGCACATGAAACCAGCCAACATTCAATAGCAGCTTGAATTGGAATTCATGGCCCAAGTAGCAAGCAGCCGAAGTTCCCGTTTCACCATGTCTCACTTCTGACGTACAGAGATGAAACTCCAATGTTCTCACTTGTTGGTTTGTTCCGTGTCTTTGTTTGTTGGTTTTGTTTTGGTTGTTTGGTGTTTTCCTGCTTTGCTTTTTGAGAACTCGGAGATTCAAAATTTAGCAAAAGATGACCTGTGCACACCGCACACATGGCGTCTCCACTCGTGCAAAAAAAGACCTTAATTGATCTCTGATCCTTAGTTGTCCAGGGAAAACGAGAAGAAGAAGAGTCGAAGAAGAGAAAGAGACAGAAGGCGGCACTATGTGACCCATGTGACCCCTGCAGGACAATTGGTGAGACCGGTGAGTGGCAAGTGTGACTGTGCAAAGTGCGCAGTCACTCACTCACCCATTCACTCACCTCACCTCACCTCGCCTCACCTCGCCTCACCTCGCCTCACCTCGCCTCACCTCGCCTCACCTCACCTCACCTCACCTCACGTCGCCTCAACTCAACTCAACTCAACTCAACTCAACCCAACTCACTCACCACTCTCACTCACTCCCACTCACTCTCACTCACACTCGCTCTCACTCGCTCTCACTCGCTCTCACTCGCTCTCACTCGCTCTCACTCGCTCTCACTCGCTCACACTCGCTCACTCTCGCTCACTCTCGCTCACTCACTCACTCACTCCCTCGCTCACTCACACTCACTCACTCACTCTCACTCATTCACTCTCACTCACTCACTCACTCACTCCCTCCCTCCCTCACTCACTCACTCACTCACTCACTCAGGCGCAATTCGACTTTGGAGAAAACCTCCCTCACGTTCGCCCTAACAGCTACTGCCTAGATTGAGGCCGACGCGCGAGAGAATTTTCTAGTCAGGTTGAACTTTGCTTTTCCGCTGTAGAGTTGTATAGTTTCTTCTTGCCACACCATATTCATTCAATATTGCATTCACTGCATTGACCTTTTGTAGCTTGGATTGAGGGCAGCACTCAGGTTGCCTTTGATAAAGTTTTAAAAGCATTCGTATGCAAGAAAACAAACATGTTCCCGACAGATGGGCTTCCAGCTCCAAGACAAGCGCGCAACGTGACAGCAAAAAATTTGTTGAAACATGGACGGGCAGTGGCTTTGCTTTCCATGACTTTAGAACCCAAGCAAATATGCCGCTGTGCCATACTGTGCCTCATTTCAAGAGCTGCTGCACACCTGTTGATGTCAATCATGGTGCTTCGACCGGGATGATGTAAAAAGGCGGTTCTGGAGGATCGTCCTGGGATTTGAGGGAGTTCTGAGGAGGCGGTCATTGGGATGACTTTTGTTTTGTGATCTTGTGCTATTTCACCTCAGTTGGTGTGTTTTCCCTTTACGAATCGACCCGGAAACCGCCGGTCCGACCGGGCCGCTCCAAGGGACTTTCTATTCAAAAAGTGCGAAAGGTCCGAAGGGCGAGTCGTTCCGTGTTTCGGGAGAGTCGCGAGAGACGATGGGGAAGACGTTCAAACCATTTTCGACCTGGAGATACGGCAGGGCATGCTGGCCAGTGATATACCATTCTGACGTCAGAGCTAGGCTTGAACAGACGGAGAGGACCAGACGTCGTGGACATGCAGCGCATGCGGAAACCACTGCAGCTGGTCTCAGGCACACAGTCTCACCCACTAAGCCATGGGAGTGGGTGTGGGATGAGTTGGTGCATGACTACAGTTTCTGGCAACGAACATAGACACAAATGATACAGACACACACACACACACAAACACACAGACACACACCGACAGACACACAAACACACAGACACGCACCAATTTTCCAACAATTGCCCAGGGCACAGAGTTGCCAACAGTTTGGCCACTCAATCCAAAGCCATGACGAGTGAGGCTGACAAGAAGATCCGTTCCCTGGAGAACCTTGATAAGTTTGGAGGTTTTAATCTTGCTGCTTCATGGGTCAAAGAGAGTGCCGTCTCTGCCTCAAAAGCAGAACATTTCGGGACATGAAGCGGCCATCCCTTCCCCCAAAGTGTAAATCCTCAGAATGGTTCACCGGTTGGATCATAGATGGCCGTTGGAATTCCCGGCGACACGGTCGTGTACCACCAGTAGGTAAATGGTGCCAAACCGACCCCTCTATTCTTCTCAACAAGACATCACTGGGTTGGATTGTTTTCATCATTTTCATCTCTTACATCATCATCTTTCTTTGGAGCTGAGCTCGACCAGCAACCGAAGCGAGCTGTCTGCGAGCTCGTCTTGAGGAAAAAACTGCGCGAAATCAAGAAGCTCCAAGAAAGGCTTGACAGCGGAGAGCCGCTTGGCGCAGTATGGAGGAGATTGGCCGTCGAAGCACGCTGTTGACGATCAGTTTAGCTCATTGTGTCCGAAAGGTCAACTGAAATGAGCTGTCGACTGCTGATTACTACATATATATATATATATATAATATGTATGAAGCAAGACTGTGGGCGGCATTCCATTGAGGCAGCTTGAGAAGCTGCAGCTGGATAAAATTGCCAAACAGAAGGACGTTGAGGAGCTGATCCCGAGAATAGTCATGAGGCAGTTGTTGACCGGGAACATTTCTCGCCTGGATCGATCTGTTCAGATGATTTCTTGCAGGAGCAATTGATTTTCTTGCAGAAGGAAGAATCTGAACCGCCTGGACCCACGCCAGTGAAAAGCTCAGGAGACTGTTACCAGCATACTTCGTTTCCACAAGTAAAAAGCGTTGAGATCTGTGACGATTGATGGGACTGCTAAACTTCAATGTTCATTTTTTCGGTTGACATGGATACTGGAATTATTTGGTATTAACGCCTGCCAAAGCATTCAACATGTCATGAAGCGCACTTTCTTTCACCGAGACAATCCATAAACACAGAAACGGCCCTTTGCTTATGAGAGCGACAGCAGAAAGGTCGGTTCCATGTCACTTGCTTTTCTGCATCGTTCGCGACTGAAAGCTCTTGCCTCGCAAACAGCCAGGAGCGAAAGAGATGCCAGCAGGCCGGTGATGTCCCAACTTTGCAAAATATGTGAATCTCATTGGAAGACCTTTAAGCAGTTTTCCGCTGCAAGTGGTGGAGGGTGCCTTTACATGTCTACTGTGTTTCTTACTATCATCCATCTTCAGCCGACGACTATAGACATAGTAGCAAGGCCAGCTACATCGAATCCAGCTACCCAAGAGTTCAGGGCCTGCGAAGGTACTCTGTACTCCGGTGTTCTTTGTTTGTTTTGAATCACCCCAACCTGGGAAGCTGCGCCCATCCCCTTCGAGGTCGAGCATCCATCCCCAACCCAACGTCCAAAGCCTCGGCGCGCTCCGCCGCGTCTGAAGCGGCGGGATCCGGAGCTGGAGGATCCGGTGCTCGAGGAGCGTGGGGGAGTTGGAGGACACTGGAGGACACTTCGGAGGAGCTTCGTGAATTCTTGAAGCTGCAGTGAGAAGACGCCTAGACTCTAGAACAGTTGCCCAGAAAAGCCCAAGAAGAAACAACATGACAACTCTGTCCACCACGAGAAAGAAAGAGGAGAAAGAACAAAGGAATCAATCCCAGGTGGCCAAATTTTTGGTACTCAAAACGACCGAAACGCTTGATCGTGTACCTGTAGTTGTTTCTCATGAGTTTTGTCCGTTTTGGTTTGACTCTTGCTGGACAAGCAAGTGGTGTCTTTGCGACCACCCCAAAAAGATGCCAGGTGGCTACATGGACACACACCTCGAGGATGCCATTTGCCTGGGCAATCAGCGAAAAGATGAGGTTGAGCAGACGCGGAGATACAAGTACCTCAGGTTCGTCGTCGCGACGACGGACACCTCGACGAACCGGACGTTCGTCGGGTTCGCTTCGCCGTGTTCGCTCGTGGGTTTGCGGGTCCGTCGCCAGGTCGCCCATGGCACAACAGTGGAAGGAGGCAAGGCAAGGGATTGGTGAGGGCCTCCAACCTACTAGCGATGGCATCCAACCGAATAGCGGGCAAGCAGGTCATGAGAAGGTCAGACTCGTCACAGGGAGTGGTGAAGCGAAGCTGGACCAAGCCAGACCGACCAAACGCGTTCAGGATCGGGATCACTTGATAGAACCGCACTACTCCCACGAGTGAAATCCATCCATCCAAGCATCTGAAACGGGTCGTTCAACACAACACTGGGAGAACCTACAGTAATCAAGCTGGTGGAGGGAGGAAGGTGCAAGAAAGAAAGCTTCTGAACACATTGTGGCCCATCTTCCCGTTCCGGCCCTCACGTGGGGTGGGGGACGCCACTAGGTCCGCCCCGGCAGTGGGACGAGCTCCAGCTCGTCTGCTGCGCGTCAGGAGTTTGTGGGAGTCTTTGAGGTCCATCCACCGGACACCACGCCGGAGACGAAGGACCATTCCAAATGGATGACCTTCACAGAGCCCTTCGATGCTCGCAGTGGAAGGGAGGTTGTGGCACGGCAGTGGTGCCTTCTTGGGCAATAAGGGCCGGGGGGTAAGTGGGCATTGGCATCGCTATATTGAGTTCAGGTTCCAGCATTCTGTAGGCAAAGTTTAAGGGAAACCAACATTTTGGTGAGCTCTGACGAGGTTGCTTGATGATATCTAATTTTGTACAATTAAGTGTACATCCTACATCCTTCAGTTTTGGACCACTTTCTTTCTATTTTCAGCTTGTGATCTCCACCAAACGTGGAGCCTTGATATGCTGGCAGGATCCTCGTGTCACGGACGGCCTTCATGCTGGTTCTTGAAAACAATCCAAAAGTCGAATCTGTTCCTCTTGACGTAAGTGACCTTGAACGACCACACGACGACACCGTGGGCCCACGTCGACACCAAGGAATTCTACCTCTGGGAGTCGCAGAACATCCCAGTAGATCATTTGAAGAAGCTTGGCAGATGACAGATGTCCTCACCGGATCAATCCGTCGCCTTCGCGCGCGAGTGTTTGCATGCAACTGTCCTGAGGAAGACCATCCACAAGGCAACTTCTGTGAAGAAGTCCGACTTCAGCCTGCAGACCATGACGTCGGAGAGGCGGGTCAGACTCTTGCGGGTTGCAAGTATTCCGAAAACCACTCACCCCCATGGGTCCAGTGTTGTCTGAACAGTGGCAGGTGTTCACAGGCATCCCGGCTGGCCCTGCAGTGAGGTTGGTGTTTTGGATTGAGATGATTAATTAGGGGCTCTGAAGTGGCCGTGGCTTCGGTTGAGCACCCGCCCAATTCATAACCCTAAGGCCCTAAATGTCAAGTGTTTGTTCCTGTGAAGGTGACATGGATTTTCTTTGCAAAGGCCCTCGTCGACTTGTGATGAATGCAAATCCAGTTCATCCAATCTTTCCTTTGGGCTTCAATAGCAGTTGGCTTAACCGCTGAACCCATGACAGCCTGCAACAAGCTTGCCTTGGTCTCGTCGGGGGGATTGAGCACCAGGCAAAAGCTCCCCTGGGACGCGGACGCGGTGGTGGAGTTTCGGAAGCTGGTGCAGAAGGGACTGAGCTCCTCGGAAGTGGAGAAGACGCTGGGCCGAGACTTTGGATGGTGGGCTGAGACTTGTGGGCTTCAGGAACCGCCAAACCCTGCCACCGTGCCACCGTGCCACCATGTTGTTGACCGACCGCGACCGCCGTTCTCAGGAAGCCCGTCGTGCGGATCCAGGCTGTGCCAAACGGTTCGCTGCTTCGCCGCAAAAAGGTCCCAGCGAACGAACGAACCAGCGAAGCCCGTCGAGGAAAAATGGGGCTTTTTGGCGCCGAGTGGACAACGGCTGGGAAGAGTTAGTGGAGCGTTTCTTTTTTCCTGGGTGAAACATCTTTTTGTTTTCGTGGATGTTCTTCACCCCACGTTCCACCGCCCTGTCGACTCTTTTGTTCATCCACGAGAACGAATGAATGTCTTGACTCTTGGCTGGGCAAACACCATCATTGCAGCTGGTTATTCAATGGTTATTCATCAATATTTCAAGTTCATGCGTGGTGCGTGCTGGCACATCTTCTGTGATTTGTACACCGGTGGCTGTGGCTCTCATAGGTGGCTCTCATTGTGGGTACTGCAGTTCATGGCGCGTCCTGAAATCGTCAAGTCGGTTGTTCGACTTTAGTTCGTCGGCTCCCCCAACCTCAGGGCTTCAAAGGGCGGGAGAAAGGGCTGCAAAGGGCTGCAAAGCCAAAGTGGTGAAGAGCCCTCTATTTTCCTGTTCCTTCGGGTTTTTGCGGTCACTCAGGTAAGAATAGACCACTTGTGGCTGAGAAGCGGCAACATCATTGCTCGCGAGCTAGTAATTTCATTCAATCAATCTAGGCCACGTTGGCAGGATTTGCGTATATAATGTTTGCAAAAGAACTGATTGAGGGGTCATGGAGTCTCACCTCGTGGTTCATGATGGGTATTTGGTAGCAGAGACCAGTACCAAGAACAAGGACCTTCTGAGAAGAAGAGACATGGAACATCAATGAAAGAGAAAACCCGGTTCAAGCAACTCCCAAAGCAGGCTCTCCCACTCCTCTTTGGGATTCAGTCAGACCTGGCAGGGTTTTCGGTGGCCTGCACCCACCATACCTGTTTTCGGTGGCAGCAAGGTGAGACAACGACCATGGTGACCGGAATCGAGCTGTGCGCTCTAAGCAACGTGACCAACGTTCCTGCAGCACCCAGAGCGGCCTGACGTGATCATGCGCCCGCCAAACTGGTGCTATTTGTACAGAGGGGTTTAGGCACACTAAACCTCGATGCAGGAGTAGGCACAAGGCAACAAAAGGCTGATCACAGAGCGGAGATCTGCGAAATCGTAGTCTCGTTGGAACGGACAAATTGCCAAGGCCAGGCTGCATGGGCAAGTACACAATACTCCGGCAACTTCTAGTGGAGTATGCCAAAAGAATCAGTGTGAGGCGTGAGCAATCTTGTTTTTACCCCTGTGCTGCTCCCTCAAGTAGAAGTTGTCGGGAGATCAGTTCTGGCCAGGCCATGCTTTCAGTACTTCATCCTTCTGTGCCAAGAAATTACCAAAGATACCAAAGTGATCCCTGTGTTTGTAATATACAGTTGAGAACCCACGCTGTCATGCTCAACTTTCCGCAAAGCTCCTTTCAGCTGAGACCTTCAAGCCCAAGCATGCCAAGAACCAATGTGGTCTCCCGCACGAGAGACAAGAGCTCATGCATAGCCCCCATTGTTTTGAGCAGGAAACGCTGCACTTATTTTGACTTGAGGCTGACACATATATATATATAAATATACATATATATATATATAGTATTCTATATGATATAATATGATATGATATATATATATATCATTTGTATCAATAATATATATATATATATATACGTATAGTTATACATGCACACATTTGTAGATAGATAAGATTCTGTGCTTTCTGTAGATCCCAGTTCACTTTTCTTTGAGGCCACCTCTAAAACTTGGCCAGGTGGTGGTTCAACCTGACCTTGATCCAAATAGTCAAAGTCAAGAACCCCAACTCCCTCGGCCTTTCCCTCTTCCCGGTGCCATGTTGCCAGCTCCCACGGCTGGTGCTCGCCTTGTCAGACCGCCGCCTCCGACCGCCGCACACCGTGGCACCGCCGGCACCCGCCGCGCCGCGGGGTTCGCGGCGCGCACCCGCCGGGGCAGCGGGTTCGACCGGGCGTGGGCGCTGGGCGTGGGCGCCGCACGTTGGGTGCGCCGATCCCGGAGGGCGAAGCGAGCGAAGAGTGACCTGGTGGAGAGTGAAGAGGTCGAGGTGAAGAAATCCCAATCCTCTTACAGCTGGGAGAAGCAATGGTATCCAGTTCTGCCTTTGTCGCTGTTGCAGGGGGTGGGTCCTGAGCCAATCAAGCTGCTGAACAAGGCCGGAGTGTGAAAATTGGACCAGTCACCAATGTTGATGCAAAAGTCAACCATGACCATGTTCTTGCTACAAAAGATTGAAGCCAATTTATATATACACATACATTCATGGGGGTTTTGGAACCATTTGCCAAGGATTTGGTACTTTGGAAAGACGGGGAGGGTGAATGGCGATGCACTGACGGTATTTGTCCTCATCGTCTTGCACCCTTGGCACGTGGCCGTGTGACTGAAAACGGAGAGCTCATGTGCCGCTTCCATGGTTGGTGCTTCAAGGCCTGGTCGGGGACGACACTTTCACAGTGTTTGTCTTTTCTTTCTCCATGGTTGGGTCAATGTCGAACAATTCTCTTCACGCCATTTGGATGGGGCTGCTTTTCCAAGTCATTTGGAATCATTTGTATGCATCGTAGGACCTGCAGGTGGCCCTGTGTAATTATTTTTTGGATAAACACCCAGTTCTTTCGGGTTTGTTCCCTGCAAGGGCGATGGCATGTGTGCGAAAGTTCCAATGGCTCATGGGGATTCTGAAGCTGAGGGACGTTTGATCGGTCAAGACTGCAGCAAGCTGGCATCGTATCCGACGAAGCTCAAGAAGGGCTTGCTCTTCGTTTGGCCCCACGCCAGTGCGAAAGAGGCTTTGCAAAGGGAACCCTTTGTCCCTGAGGAGTTGTCGGAGAGTCCCAACTGGAGTTGTTTTGACGTGCCAGCCGGCTGGAGGGTGTGGCTCGAACAAAGCTGGGATCCCAGCCACGCGCCCTTTTTGCATCAGTATGCCCTACCGAACTTTGCTCCAGAATATGCGGCCCCCATGGAACCGTTTGACATTCAAGATCTTGGAGATGATGGTCTCAAGGTCAAGCATGGTGGATACATGCAAAGCAACATGGGCATGAAGGCTGATCGTCGCTTCGTGCCGCCTTGTGCCAACTCCACCTCCTACCTCTATCCGGATGGTCGAATCATTGGCTTCAACTTCTATTTCGTGCCCACCGAGCCTGGAAAAGTGCGCCAGATTACCACCTCCTATTTTGTGCCAAGCCAGAACGAAGACGACAGCAAGAGCAACCTCAAGGGGAACATGATGCAGATGTCCAAGGTGGTTTTGAAAGGCGCAAAGAGTTGTCCTTCTTCCCCCACTGATTCTTTTTGAGATGTCTTCTGTCTTCTTTAGATAAAAGTCAACATTTAGAAAAGAAGCTCAGGTCTGGGTGATCTTGAAATGAACGCCGGTAGCATGTAGCCGTGATTCACAGAGCCATGCTGGAGCCCCAAGCAACAGGCAACAGGTTGCCAATATGGTAGTTCACACCTGCAAACAGAATGAAGTTGGACCTCTAAAACCCCCAAAAGCATTGTCTAGTACTAGCCAGGACCCCGAACTCCTCCCACCCCAGCTGTCCGAAGTCCTCTCCTTGTCGACCCAGGCCGGAGCCTGGGCACCGCCGAGAAGCCAAAGCGCGATCTCCGTGCCTCGTGGATGGCCTGGGCGGAAACACGCTGGCCCGACCTGGCGAAGGTGCGGCGAGGCCTCGAGACATGGAAGCTCTTGCAGGCGAGCGCCCGCGGAACGCGCGCGGAGGAAGGGCCCGCGCACGGACCGAATGGAGGGAAGGTGGGATAGAGCAAGAACATGGAGTCAATGTGGATGAAGCGGCAGGCGCCATGGAGATGTCTTTTTGGATAGTGAAAGGATTAAGGGCGTGGCGCCCAGCCCTCTTCCATACTTCGACCGGGCCCAGCTCTTGTCGACGGCCCGGCCGTGCAGGGGCTACTTGGGGATCAAGACAACACGGTGCTTTCCTTCCAAGACTCGGTGGGCCTGCCAGCTGTGCAGAAGAAAGAACTTCGTGAGCCGCGTGTCTCGCAGAAGCTTGGCGAGGGTGCAGCGGTTTGTTAAAGCAAACATGCCAGGGTTGTTGGGCCTTGAAAGCCAAGCCAATACCAAACAGATCAAACACTTCTAGGAGATCTACTAATAGTTGCCTTTACAAGCCCTTCTCTATCCTTCTCTTGTTATATACCTTACCTCATCAGCCACCGCAAAAAGAGCCAACCAAAAAAGTGCTTTGAGCACGGCCCTCACCCCATCCAGAAGTTTCTCTCAATCGGAAAGAATCCTTTTCTCCCGAGGCGCTTCGGGGGCCCGGCCTCCGAGTATCTGCTGGAGACCCACGCGGACGCCCTGGTGGCGCGCTTCGACGCCTGGATCGCGCAGCGCCACGGTGGCCCCTTCGGCCGCATGGACGGCCGTGGCGACGGCGGCGCGCCACGGGAGCAGCTGGAAGCGGCGGTCTTCGACCGGTGGGCGGCGCATACGAGCTTCAGCAAGGATGCACAGGCTGAGGGGATGAGGGAAGCTTTGGATCGGACCTGAAAAGTTTGGATGCTTCTCTTGCTGTGCTGAGTCAGGTACAAGAGAGCTAAGATATATATATATATATGTTATATAGTTATATACATATATATATATATATGTGTGTGTGTTTGTTGATTTGTGAAGTTTATATATCTATATAATAAGTCCTTTGATTCACTCCCAGCCAGGCATATGCAACTAAGCGCTCCAATTGAAAACAACTTTAAGTTCAGCGCCCTCAGCGCTAGAGCGACCTCTCCTGGTCCATGTTTCTCTCGATTTGAGGGACCCTCCAGCATCCGAAGGAGAATGCAGCAGCTAGTAGGTTAGAGGGCATCGCTAGTAGATTGGAGGCCATCGCTATATAGGTTGCAGTTTCTTCCTGAGGCCGCCTTGTCCTTCTTGGTGTGCCTTGCTGATTACTGCGATCGCCTGGTGGTCTTCAGCGCCTGTCTGGCGGCCGTGGCCCTGGCGGCTGCTGCGCCACGCTGGGGGGCGCCCTTTGTGCTGCTCGCTGCTGGGGCCACGTGGGTTGCGCGGTGGGGACGCAGGAAAGCGCAAGGTGGGCATCGGAGAAAGGCTGAACATGTCCATCTACTATAATAGTGTTCAGTTCAAGTGCTGGGATACCTTGAAAGTTCCCTTTTGTGAATGCAGCTAGAAGTGGTTGTCGCACCGAAGTTTCGACAACAGGTCGAAATAACGAGTTGTAGATAGCAGCGGGTGAGTTTCTGCTGGGAAACTGGAACATCAAACGTTCAAGCGATCTGGTCATGAGCTTGCAGCTGTTGAGGGCTTGCTTGGCACCAAGGAAAGCGGATTTCATCAAATATCGTCATGAGCCCTCTTGTAGTCTTGTAGTTCTTGTTTCTGTAGTTGGAGATAGTGATCCTAGTGCCAACCTCTGCAGCTTAACAATGGCCCCCCCCCCACACTCCACAGACTACGCAGGGTAGAACAAACTCGGCTGTGGGTCAAAATCCGGAGCCCTGCCCTGGTAGGCTGTTCATTTTCGCTCTAAAAAAGCGGGGGTCCCCCAGTTTTGACCCGCAGCCACAAGACCGGCCAGGCTTCCTCAGCGCGCTGCCGGCTTCGCCGGCGCTGCCGAGGCGCCAGCTGTGGGAGTAGGCCGTTCGAACTGGCTCCCCCCAAAGTGGGGGAATCGCTTCAAGGTGGTGTGATGCAAAGAAGGCGCAGGGGTGGCAACTTGGCAGTGCCGAGGTGAAATGTTGAGTTGAAGTGAAGAGTTAAGGAAGGAAAGCGATCCCGTCTAAATCACTTTGGGCTGGCCTTCCATCCCACTCTTTGTTTAAGCTGACATGTGAGATGCAGAGCGATGATGGAACCAGCGGTACGTGGGCGCCTTTGGCTTCCCAGAGCTCCTAAGTCAACCCAAGGACCTCAGAAACATCATGGCTTTTGCAAGAGTTTTATGTTTGGATCAATGGTTTTGCTAAATTTGGAACAGCACTCGCAAGCAAAGGGCGCAGGCAGCGCAGGCAGCGCAGGCCAAGACTGATGTTCACTGTTCAACTTCAAAGACGAAAGACGAGACGCTGCACGGTGCGGACTCGCCTCGCGGTGCGGACAGCGGTGCCATGGAAAGCCTCGCTGCCATGGCACCCAGCGTGGAGACCTTGCCGGACAGCGTGGAGACCCTGAAGAGGCTGCCGTGCCGGGGGGGTGGAACAAACCCCACTGGACCCTGCTTTTTGCGGGTGTGTTTTTGGGGTCCTGCCTCATCCTGTGGAGTTCTGACCGGAGTGGTCGCCTTTGTCATTGGGCGGCTTGAAACAAAGCAATGGAAAGAGCCCAACATCTGCGGTGCTGGGCGTGTCGAAATGTGGGTGTGTCGTTTTGATGAACAGAAGACGACCTGTCTTGATCTGAAGCCCCTTCGTGTGGGGAAGGTGGGGAGGCCAAGAGTCCAGTTCGGACCACACCATGGTTCCCAACGCCTCTTCAGAAAGGTCGAGGAGGAACAATTGCCCAAGAATTGTATGATTCGATGGCCCATCTACTTTCTCAAAGGTCTCACGTCCATCTAGGAAAAACCTAAGCAAGTTGGATCATCCCAGTATCTGCATATCTAGTATCTAGCATTTTAGAAGAACATTTGAACATGTCTTTCTCATTCCACTGTTGCTCACTTCTTCGTGTCAGTTTCTTTGATCATCTCTATTACCAGCTCTTTTTGTCTCGTTTTTGGTGCTCCGTCTCGTCCCGTCTCCGCTCCGTCTCGGCTCCGCACCGCGCCGTCTCCATCTCGTCTTTCGAGGCTTTGGGAGTCGGAGAAGGCGGAGTTGGAAAGGAGCCGAAGAGTCCAAGAGCAGCTGAGAGCTGTGCTGCTGCCCTTGCAACAGAGGTGCCGCCGGGTAGCGTTGCCGCGAGGAGAGGTATAACCGCGGGTTGAAACCGCAGCGCGCTGCGGGATCGATCATCGCCCTGATAGTCATGGCGATGATCCTATCGCGAGGGGTGGGTTGGGTTGGTTGGCCGTTCGATGTAGACGTGATGGGGGGTGGAAGTTGATGAGATGGGACTTTAAACATACGCACACACCACACAAACTGAAAGGTCCTTTGGAAAGAAAGCGTTGAGAGTCTTGAGCCATGCTGATGAAGCACCATACCTTTCAGCATAAGCAAAGAGCTTGGGCTTCCCTGGGCGAGTGCGCTTTGGCTCAACTTTTTTAGTGCTGGAGACTTTCAATGTAACATTGATGTGACAGTGCGTCACAGGCTGCTCCAACATTTGAAGACTCAACTCGACTGAGCTAGTTTTCCTGGAACAACCAGTCGGAACTTGGTGAGCATCTTAGCTGTGGCACAGAGCTCACCCAATCCAGTGAGATAGGACTATGCGTGCTGCGTAGGATCAAGGGATCGTCTTTTACGCTATCCAAGCCTGCGCTGGCCCGACTCCCAACGATGGACTTGCCATGTTCGAAAACTCAGGCAGGGCAGGGCTGTGTGCAAAAAAAAGCATTCATGGCTTCAAGGCATCTATCGAGTTTCTGTAGACTCATGACTGCCCGAGGAAGGGAAGAGGAGGGGGTCTCAGAGACATCAGTGAGGAAATCTCGTTGTGAGTTCTTTGCTTCCCTTTCTTGCCCATGCTTTAGCTTCCGAGACCTGAACATGTGGGATGTCTGCCATCCATTCGACATTCTTGATTCTGCCATCCAACTTGCGTCAGGACCAGGCATGCCTAAAAAAGCTTTCAGATCGGCGAGAGGAACGCTCTCAGAACGCCCTATTCTTGCTTTCTTTTTTTTTTTTAAAGACTCCTATTCGGTCCGTCGAATCGACGGTCCGTTGAGCACCCGACCAAGACACCTGTTCCTCCAGTGATTTCAACCGCCCACCGGTGCCGCTGTGCAGAGCCACCAGGGCACTGGGTCTCCTCGGTCTCTTCACGCCCGACCACGGGCGAGCCCGTCTCCTCGCTGGTGGGACCCTGGTTTGCCATCTCGGGTGCCGGTTGGAGAGTCTCCAGAGTTTTTTTCAGAGCAGATGGATGTGGAAGAGGGAGACCCCTAATGCATTTTGGTCTTCCGAGTGATCTTTGAGAAGGTCTCTCTAAGAAGGACGAAGCCGATCTTTCGTGGATTTGCAAGTGTCGACCAAGTCTGCATGTAGCTTGAGTGCTGCCTCGTGTCAGGCTGAACAGAACCTGCAAGAAATGACTTCTCAGAAACCAAAAACCTTTTTCAGCATACATTCAGGCCGACATCAACCAGAACTTGCAGAAGCGGCTCCAGGGGTTGAAGGCCGTGGATTGTTTCAAGAAGGGTGGCATCAGGCTTTTGGAAGAGCATCTTGGAACATCGCGTTCAAGACCTCTTGGTCTTGAAGACACACCAATTTAGACAGACGACCCGCAGCTGGTGTGGCAAAGCCAGGGATTCATGTGGTTTGCACAGGATGGGGTAGTTGCTGACCCAGCAAAGCTGTTGCTGTTGCCTTAAAGGCATATGCCAGCCTATTTGCAGTATTTGCAGGGACCCCCCGCCAAAGGAGTTTTTGACACGCAGATAGGCGGCGGAGTTTTCCCGTGTCTAGCGGCTAGCGGCCGGCGGCCACTTGGCTTTTCGGGCTTCTCCTTCCATTTTGCCAATGGACCATGCTTGATCCCATGGGTGATCAACAAGGGGGACCCGGCTTAAGCGGGTTCCAATCGACCAACCCCACGGCAGGTGGTTTGCAGGTCCCCCAGTATTGACCATCAAGTGTTCCAAGTGCCTCCCACCAATAGCATTTCTTTTGGACGAACTCCGGCGGTGGCCTGGTTTTTCGTTGTCAGATCGGGATCTTTGGAGGGCTTTTTGTAGGTCAATCAGTGGAAGTACCTGCAAGTGGCTGAAAGTGGGCACATTTCGTGACTTGAACTCTCTCGCGACATTTAAAAGTTGAAAAGCCCTTTCAAGAGGGTTCTGTTTTTTTCTTTCACCCAACATTGGGATGGTGCTTGACGTGTTTGTTTTAAAGAACGAACCGCCCATGAGGAGAGTCGGTGCCGAGCCGGGCCCGTGCCGCGCACTCCGCCAGGGCCGCCCGCTTCGGCACACGACGCCGAAGGGTCGTCCCACTGGGAGGCTGGGCACCGGTGGCCGAAGCGGATCTGGGCGTCCGAGGGCTGGGTGGAATGGCGTGGTGGCTTGCCAAGGCCGAAAGGGCTTCGAAGGTGGACGGCTTGTAGACCGAGGTAGGTGAAGAAGATGCACGGGAGCCTTCATATACCCTGAGTGGGATGCTTTTTGGATTCTGTTTGGATGTGGCTCGTGGGCTCAAGAAAGCAACAAAGACCGCCGCAACAAGCCGGGTCACACGAAAACCCCCCCGTGCTTTTTTCCGCGACAGAACAGCTCCACCATGGGGAGTGGAGCCAGCCTGGGACAAGTGAGCAGCAAGTCAGTGAAGCACATTTCGACGAAGAGCAAGTCGTCCAATTCGTTGAGACTCTCTTACTTGCCGCCGATTTGCGAAATGGCTGAAGACGAGGACGAGGATGCCAAGCCAGAGAAGCTCCTCCACAGGGTGGAAAAGAATACTCTGAACTTTGAGTTTGAGCCTGTCTTGCCAGGTGTCGTGCTTTCAGAGGAAGAACTGGACACCTTCAGAGGCTGAGCCAGGAAGCAGGACTGGCAATGGCTGACCTTTTAGTCCGAAAGTCTTTAGTTGATCTGAATGAGAGGTGCAGAACCCCCCAAGTGCAGACAAACCCGCGTTTTTCAGATTTTGATTCGATCGCCACGCGTGTGTCTAGGGTGGGGCAAGTATCCACCTGCAGCTTTACTGCAGTCTTCACTTCTTTCCTCCCAGTAACCTCAGGAACTTACCTTAGCGAGTAAGAAATCCGAGGATAATTCAAGCATTGCATTGAGTGTATTCAGCTTTTGCCATGTGGTCAATGGGGGCCCAGGCTGTTCCCAAATTGCATGTTTTTGCTGCCGACCAATTCATCCTGGTCCTTGGCCAGCTGGACTTGGAGGCACTCGCTCACGCTCGGCATTTTCCAAGCCGCCGGGTGTTTTTCCTGACTTCCAACAGCAAGTCAGTCTTGGAGCAATTGCACGATCGTTGTATCACTGTATTGCCACTTGGATGTGCTTTGGCATTGGTCTTTTGCTTGAAGCAAAAAAAGTACATCGTTGCTGGACACACCAAAGCACATTTTACACGGTTTCTACTTGAAAGTAAACTAATCCTGGTACTTGGCCAGCTGGATTTGGAGGTACTTACTCGGCTTACTGACTTTGCATCGGCCGGGTGTTTCTTGACTTCAAACTCTGAGTCAGTCTCAGAGTAGACACATGACTAGCATCGCCACTTGGGTGTGGTAAGAGTGCTTTTGCAATCTTGCTTGAAGCAACCATCCCTCCCCCACTCTGCCTCTCTCCCTCTGCCTCTCCCTCCTCTCCTTTCCCTCTTCCTCTTCCTCTGCTCCATCGCATTGCTTCCTCAGTTGGGACTGAAACCACTTGCACAAACAAGTGCCATTCAGATGAGACTGTGGCATCAATTTTCTTCACTGGATTCTTGATAAACTGACCAAAACAGCTGAGAAAGCCCGAGCCTGCACTTGAGCCATGACCACCTGGAAAGCCAGTCCCAACCATAAACAAATGGTTGTTCCAATATGGCAATCGAGATCCTTTACATAGGAAGTGGCTGTTTGGGGAAACAGCTCACTTGTCCCATTTGTACCAAAAGACTCGATGGTGCAGGTGCACATCGACTCCTGTGCTGGTGCAGAAACCAAGCCGTTGGGCACTTGAGCGCTTGAGAAGCTTCGATTCGGAAGTTGGACCGTTCCGATGCGAGCCAAACAGCAGTACTCAGTACTCAGTACTCAATGAGGGGGGAGGACCAGGTTTTACTTGGTACTGGTGGGGAGAGACCATATATTTTGCATTCCTCATATGGAATGGGCAGACCTTACCGACGTGTGGGTTTCAGCGTCACGGAAGGGCTGGTCTGGTTCCTGATTCGATAGCTACATTCCACTGGCCAAATGCGTGTGAAAGTCAATGAAGATCTCATTTCCGGTATGTTGGTTAGGTAGGTCTCTCCGTCATCCAGACTCCTTCAGTTGATGAGGTCCAGAGCGTTGCCAGACAGCTGCTTGTGCAGTCGAAGCAAGGTGTGAGCACATGGGCTAGAAGGGAGTGAGCTTGAGAGATTTGGCATTCAGAGAGAGAACTGCAGTTTTTGGCTGACTAAGCCTGAGCCTTTATCAACCAACAGCTGGAACTGCGGTATGCGAACCATCTGGGGGCGAAACCTCTCAGACGATCGAAACCATTTGCTTCGATGCTTGGTGACGACGCCGTCGCGTCTTTCGACGCCGTCGTCTCCCCGCATCGAAATCGAAGGAACCCACGCGATCCGTCCAATCCGGTGTAACATCTGACTGTTTGGACCCTGTCTATCCCGACAAGTCGTCCAGCCACACACAGAATGGTCTTGGGAGGTAGCAATATCCATTTCAGTAGATGACAACATCAAGTCTGGTAGCCAAAATCCAAATTGGATCGTCGCAGCTGTCGGAGCTCCTTGTTTCTCCACCTCCCCCTGACCTCGCTGTGTTTCCGCCCCCCCCACCGGCAGGGCCGAAACCTCAACGCTCCCGAGCTCGGAGGGCTCAGGGATTCGGTCGGAACGGGTTTATGCAGTGGACTGACTGAAGACGTACTAGTAGTACTAGCCTCACTGAGTCTGATTCACTAGCCTCATGACCACAAAGCTTCAAGTTGGCTAGTCACTTGGAGCATTTTCACATCACTTGGAGCATTTTCGCATCACCTGACGTAGCCATGTGGCTCTGCATGTGACGATCTTTCCAAAGGAAAGTGTTAGCAGGCGCCGATTCACACATCGGCTGGACGTCGCTTGGCACCAACATGATGGAGACGCCATGCAAAATCTTGTCAATGACAAGACAAGGGACCAGACGTGCATATGTATGAATATATATAGTAATGATATATACATACATACATACATACATACATACATACATACATACATACATA